AAAAAAACTAATAATTATCAAAAATTCACTTTCTGATCTAACAAGGTACTGAAGTTGAAAATCGAAGCATTTCTTCTGCTCAGAATCTAAAATGTCAGCACCGGTCAAATGTACCACCTACATGACATAAATTATGATGAATTCTTATCAGATAGGAAGAATAAATTTATTGGATAAATGACTTATAACAATAACTATAACTATTAAAAATGCCTAGTGTATATTGATTTGTTTTACTTGTATTACAAATTTTAATAAATAGAATGTTCAATGAGTTTGATGAGACTGAATTAAATTTTTCCAATCATTAAATGTATTATTGCTTTTATAATTTCGACATTMATTTAACTTTATTTTGTTTTAGCTGCTGTTAAGCAAAAATCAGAATTGGAAGTTGGTGTTCTTACACAATGCATTAAATCCAGGACTATGTTCAAAATGAATACATCAACATCTTCCAATATTCTACTGAAAATAAATTCAAAATTAAATGGAATCAATCACACTCTTGCCATCAGAAGCAGGTAATGATATTCTAAATAAATTAAGCCTAATATTTTCTTCAGGGGGCCAMATAAGTAAAATATTGCCGTTATGCAGGCCATCAACCATATACATTTAATATTTAATTACTATTTTATACCTACTTTTTGTGTATCCATATGTATATTAATTTCTTAATACAAAATCATGCCGCTGAACATTTCTGTGGCTTTGGCGAGCTACGGGTTGGGCATCACTGCGCTGAATGATAAATTAGTCCAAAACTATAGAGTACAATATAAAAAAATTTTGTATTAAGCATGAATCAATATTTAAATTATTATGTATTGCTTGAGTTAGCCAATTTTAAGCAGTCTTGATAACCAGGCATCACACAGAGACTATTAAATCATTTAATTTAATTTTGTTATTGTGACTAAAATTATAAACTGTTAGTATTTATCATGACAAAATAGATAGGTTATTACAGTTGTAATAGTTCTTTTTCAGTATGCACATTTCTTTCACATTCATCCCATGTTGTAGTTCTCCACTTTTAATTAGTTAGTTGATTTTTGTCCATGTTTTATAAATGTACGTATATTATTGACAGTCAATAAGAAGTGAAGAAGTACAATGTAGGTTTGGATGAACAGAGAATGTGTATCAAAAAACAGTAATGAAACTTATCTATTTTTTCATGGTAATTATAATTTWAATATATTATTTTATTGCAAATAGCTGATCTCGTGCACTTCGTTTCCCGTTAAATGTACTAAATTTATATGACT